AAAAAAAAAAAAAAAAAAAAAAAAAAAAATAGGAGACAGATCCCTTTTAATAATCTTTTCTAATGAGTTTGTTTTCATTATTGTGCACTTCGATAAAAGCCAATATGTTAAAACTGAAATCATTCAGATGTATGAGAAACCTTTACTGACAATGAGAAATGAAGACAAATATTACACAAAAATTTCACAAACACAGAATTTCTTATTAACTGCCACAGCCAGTTACAAATTTCTATAAAGAGATATTGTAGATCATACGGTGTTTAGAAGCCATCCAAGAAAAGGCTTAGTGTAGTCACAGAAAGGTAAAGTTCAGCAAGGCCTTGCTAAATTTGTGGCTGCCTGTTATAACAAATAGCCTGCACTGTTCAACACAATATGCACTTTTATGTTTTATTTTATCTAATTCTTCCCAGAATTTATTATACAGTGAGTTTATGGGAGGGCCAGGGATTTGGCTCAGTGGTTCTGTCGCCTGCCTTGCAAGTGCAAGAGCAAGGGCTGGGAATTGAGCTCAGTAGCACTGCGCCTGCCTCTTACGTGCAAGGTCCTGAGTTCGATCCCTGGTACCTGGGAAGGGGTGGGATTTATTTATCAGAGGTTAAGGAACTTAAAGGCCACACATCGCGCAATTTCCCTAGAGTATCAGAATGGAGACCCCAGACTCCAAAGCACAAACTTAACTCCAAGCATACTTTAAGTCACACTACTAGAGAAGGAAGACCTTCCCAACTGCTGCCGTACACTGGTAAGTGATTGAAATAAAAACTCAGAAGTGTTTAATGCCTAGAAAAATTCAGAAACTTGAATAAGAATTTGCATTATTGCTGATGCTTTATCTTTTGGGGTCTTCCCCACTTTACCAGTGCTTTAATTTGCAAAATTCTTAATTGATATATAATAATAAGGTGTAGCATGATGTTTCAGTATGTGTGTACACTATGGAATAATCCAGTCAGCATAATTAGGACATCTGTCACCTGAATCATCACACCTGAACTGCCTTTGCGTCAGATCACAGGTGACTCAAACCTCTCCCGATATCATTTTATTTAATTTTGTAAATTTTATGGCAGGCCTAGTCTGTGGCAGGACTGGAGACACAGGAAAACTCAGTCCTTGTCCTGGAAGAGCCCATAGGTCAGTCAGGGGGACAGATATGTAAAACAAATACTCTGTAATTGCTAAGCAGCATTCCTCAGAGGAAAGTAATATGCATAGAAGAGGATTCATACAGTGGGGTAATACTGGAATTGAGCTCTGACGGGAAATTTACCTTACTACCTAGAGAGGGTAATGATGTTGGCCCATCCTATTATTTAAATAAACTGGATTAGTAATTCACACATGCTTATTTATCATTACATATATGTGAATATATTTATCACTATATATACATACATATATAGATATGAAACAGCTATAGAATTGGAAAAATTGAGTAGCCTTTAGTTTTACTAGGTATGCATCATATTTCATCATATAAATTGATTTTTAGTAATAAAATCTTCAGTCCATTTAACATCCTTTAACATATTAAAAAGTATGTTACTATGTGTGGCTTGAAATAATATTATTGCACTATAAGTAAAAGCTAAAATTGTCCCCCAAAACCCTCTTTATTTTATACCTGTCAGGGTCATAAATATACGTGAATTTTAAATGTAGGAAAGAGAATTAAGTCATTATTTCTGGTTCCATTAAAACTGGTTTCCAAAATGGGAAAAAGGGAATGCACTTTTTTTTTTTTAGCTATACATCTCTTTATTGTCCTGGAAGTCAACTAGACATTACTCCCAATTCACAAAACAGCCTAATAAATGACATCTCAATCCCAACTTTTCATAAATTTGATCTATGACATTGTTCCCTTTTTAACCATAAAAACCCAAATAAAGATTCCTTCTTTCAAATTTTGTTTCCAATTTAGGATTCTAGTCAATGACAGGCAGAGACACAACCCTCCAAGTTTCTGTGAATATGGGCTGTGGAGCTAGGCATAGCTCAGCAAAAGCTTTCCAGGTTGTGCTCTTTTCTTCCAGCATCAAAAGTCACGTGTGTTCAAACAGGCATCCCAAACCTACAGAAGCACCTCACTCCCACACTCCAACTTTGAGACCCGAAGAGATTGTGAAGAACATCACCAACTAGATACGTTCAACACTTAAGAGAATCAAGCAACTGATTAAGAGAATGCAGATGAGAGACTTACATGTGGTAGACTGGCTCAGGTCAATGAATCTGACACAGGCTGACAGACAGCCCAGAGCAGGAAAAATGCTCTTCTTGTCCCAGCCATTCAAATATTAACCTGCACAACATTTACATGGAAACCCGCAGTCCAGCCCATTTGTACTTGACAGCCAGAGTCCAATTTAGGGTGGGGTAGCCAAGGTGCTCAGGGAACAAAGAGACAGATTCTCCCATGGGCTGGGTCAGCAAACACAGCCCTCTCCTTCACCCAGGCACGGGCTATGGAGCAGAGATGGAAAAATATGAATAGTAAGAAATGACTTTTAAAATATTAGTAAAGGCAATCAATTGACTTAATAGTCTTCCAGGATTATTCTGTTCTTCTAAAAGGTGAAATGCCTCTCAGACTATATTTTATGGTCAGAAACCCTTCTACTAATAAACATTTGTGTTACCAATATAATTTTTATGATTGGATCTAGTTCAAACAGCTGATGCTACTCAAATTAATGTGAGGACAAAAAAAATTTTTTAAAGCCACAGACTAGAGTTAATGTGCTGTTAATTTTCTGAAAAAAAAAAAGAATGTTTCATTGAACTGAAAGATTATAACTACCAGGACCTTAACTGAAGTTCCTTATAGTTTTCTTTTAATTTTACAATTTTTAACTAAAAGTACACCACACCCTCAGACCTACTGGACACACCCACCACTGTAAGGTTCATATATAACCAATTATCAGTCAACATCTACATGTCCCAATTTTGCAATTTATTCTCCAAGGTTATTAATGCAGCGCCTACGCACAGCTCGAAAGAACAGGACAGACAATGGCCAGGAAACCTCCTAAGATATTTTTTAATTGATTCTGTTCTTCGCCTCAATAAGTCACCTCCTCTCATGACAGTATATCTTGACAAAAACATGTAATGGCACGAAAGAGAGCTCAAAGGGAACCAAGATATTTTTATATTGGGTGTATGTGGGTTTTCTTAACAGCCAGAAGAAAAATAGGGAAATTAATCTCTGGATCCCTGGCCTGCTACAGTGGGCTTCCCACTGCTGATAATTTGGCTTCTGAATTATAGGAACAGCTTCCATATACCTAACTAACTACATGTCCAGTTTTGCAAAGGGCCTGAAAGTTTGGGTTGCTCTTCAGAACCAGTGGTTGGAACAATGACTACAGAGAGGTAGACAGATGAAGAAATGGCACATTGGCTCTTGGAGAAATCACCAAAAATCAGGGGCAAGACAGATAGGGACCTAGCTTCTGACAGTAGTTATTAGAGCTGACCAGAAGATGGTGTTACTATCTGTGCGTCTCAAAATGTAGAGGCTAATTTTTACAATCACTTCGTCAGGAGCTTTTCCAAATCCACACCACCACGGACCTCCTCTCTGAAAGCTCCACAAGAGGGGAGAGTTCTTGCTGCACACACCAGGGAGCAAGCATCACCAGAGGTCCAGGTGCAGAGCTCCCAGGATATCAGCAGTGACGCAGGCTTGGCATGGGCAGTGTAGAAAAAGAAAAAGAACCACGCAGATAGGAGTGTGATACACAAACTAACTTCCTTGCTCCACAATTTCTTGAGAAGTTAAATGTCCCCTTGTTGCTCCCTAGTTGCTGAGACCTGGACAGTATGGGGATACAGTAGAACACACCTCTGGGGACTCTCGGGAATTCCTGGGAAGAGACTTTGTGAGGGCAGAAAGGCCTTCGCATTAAATACATTGACAAGGGGGGAAGAGGTTGAACTTTATTGTAGATATGATGCATTTGGTTTGTTTCCATGAACTGGTTAGGCCAGAAATCAGCTGTGAGACATATAAATGTGGATATATATTTTATATATA